AAAAAAAAAAAAAAAAGAGTAGTGTCAGAATCCTGGGGACACTCCAGATCTACCATTTACCAGTTAGACTAGCTTACCTGCACCTTAGTTTCCTCATCCAGAAAGTGTCATTGATCATAACAGTGACCTTTTCATAGGACACGTGTGCATACTCAATGAGATGTTCCATGTAAGGAGCTTAGCACAGTGCCTGGCACATGATAAATGTTAGCTCCATAAAGGTTAGCTACTAAGGAACCACAAAGCCCCATGGCCCCACTAGGGTACTTTTCTGGCAACACCTCGAGTTCAGATGGGGGAGATAAATGGCCCTGCCCTGAGGTCCCCAGCTCTGAAAGATGTAGTTACTGTCTAGGCCCCAGGTGAAGCGTTTCCATGTCCACTGACAAGTGGCCTGCCCTTAACTGGTCCTAGACCCAACTCCTTTATCTTTCCAGTAAGAAAACAGTCCTACATGGTCCTCAGCAAAGGAGGACCATCTTTGACATGGTGTTGTGATGGGCAAGGAGGCTTCAGGGAGGTGCCCAGGTTAGGACCAGGGTCCAGGGGCATCTGGACACATCTGGTGATAGGCCAGACCAAGGGCTGTCTGTCAGCCCGGAATGCCCCTCTTAGGAGCAGACTTGGGCTATACTGGGGTATAACATTTCCTACTGGGGTCTAGACCTCCTTGGGCACACCTGACCAACTGAGGGATGACTCAGAAGAAGTATATATCCAGAAAGCTAAGAGCTCCCCAAGGGGAGCTCATTCAAGGTAGAGACTCAGTGGGGCACAGTGAACTCAGCCTGGTGGCAGAGCCAGAGTTTAGAGGGTTCTGAGTACAGCACAAACTCTGTAATGCCAGTTCATTCCTCGCCCAGTGCTGGTGCTTCTCTGGGTCCTAGGGAGAGGGGGTCGACAGGGAACACATAGGCCATTTCCTCAGACAGCCACACATAGGACCCGATAGGCACCCGTGTAACTCAGAGGCAGGGAGACATTCTCCCACCTTCCTGCACTATGAGCTCTGTGGCATGGGCAGGAGGGGAGCCCCCTACAGGGCATGAGCAGACCCACAGGCTGGGGGAAACACTACCATGCTATACGCCCTCTCTGCACAGTACCCTCCAATGGCCAACTATCTCCTCGGCATGAAAGACTGAGTCCCAACTAACACTAACAAGGCCCTACAAGGCTCCGTGGGATCAAAACCTGAAAGCCTCCAGAGCTCACCCCCTACCACTGCTCCCCTGTCTTCTCTAGTCCAGCCACACCAGCCCCTTGGCCCCTTGCAAGACTCACTCAGCATATCTCACCTCAGGGCCTTTGCTCTTGCACTCCCTTCTATACCCTTACGACTAACCCCCCCTCACTTCCTTTCCGTCTTTACTCAGAAGTCATTTTCTCAGCAAAGCCTTTTCTAAACATTCAATCTCAGTGTTTCCTCCACACCCACTACAGGACTTTTTCTATTTGTCTTGCTAGTTGTTTGTCTTTCCTGACTCAAATGTGAGCTCCACGAAGTCAGGGACTTGCTCCATTCTCTGAGGAGCCCCCAGTGCTTAGAACAGTGCCTGT